TGCCCTTGTCTCCGTGTGTGTGTGTGTCACTGTGTGTTTGTTTTAATCAGGGGGAGTTTAGTACATTGACACAAGGTGACATGGACTACTGTAAGTGCACAAAAGAAAACTGGTTATTGACAGACATCTGGTTGAGGCATATAACCTTAGGATAAGATCATACGCACTCCGATCACAAGAAATTAATATTGACATGCAGATTGTCCCCTACGACATTTAAAACTCAATACTGGCTGAAACGAGTTATAATAATAATAAGTAAATAACAATAATAACTGTTGAGCTGTGGAAAGAGACCTTATTTACGAATTAACTTGAATTATTTTTATAATTTAAGTCAGAAAATACTGACTTACATTTTTTTTTATTTAAGTCAGTATTTTTTATCTTCAGTTAAATTGCTGAGGATAAAAAGACACAGCTACAATGATCTCTTTCAAAGTGCTAAAATGCATGTTTAAGCCCGAAAGACATACTATAAAAGGCCAATAGCAGTTTACATAGCTGTGTCCCTCTTAACTCCATAAACAGATAAGGATAATCAGATTGCTTGCTTACATCAAAAGAAATCCTTTAAATGCAATAAAGGGACAGTAAACAAGTCGGTGAGTGTAACCCTCTGATTCTCAATATTAAACTTGAATTAACTAAGGAAGGAATCAAGACACTATATAAGTAGGAAGCTGAATCTTGCACTGAGTATTGGACGAAACACATATCAGAAACACCTTTTAATATAATAAAATAGTCGATAGCGCCACAGAGTGTAGCACCTCTTTATACAGTCAAGATAAAAAGAGCGAGTCTAATGGCGCGTTTCCACTACACGGCCTCGCTCTGCCCCGCTCGGTATGGCTGGGCCTCGTTAGGACTGGCTCACTTTATGGCGCATTTCCATTACAGTTTAGGAACTGGGGTAGTATCTATAGTAACGCAGTGTAGGCGGAGCCGTGACGTGATCTTCAGAGAAACCCCAGAAAAACAACACAGCCGTTAGCTGTTAGCACTCAGAGCTCACAGCTCCTCATATATGTTCAGAAACTAGACAAAAGTAAAACAAGTACAAACCACAGACTGCCTGTGTCATGGCGAATACAGTCGCTGCTTTATTTATGTCTGTATAGGCCGTTGTTGTGAGTGTGGACGGTCGGGGCATATACTGCGTTAGCTTAGCCAATCTCCATTTAGAAAACAAGCATTTTAAAAGGTTTTTCGCCTGCCGTCTGTCTGCAGACTTGTCAAAGCATTAATTCATGGTTTTTACTAACCGGTATCAGTATGTTGTTACTTCGGCATCATTTTGAAACGTGTATTACAATTAAATCACGGTCAAATATGTCCATCTTGTTGTAGTTGTAGCCCCCTTGCCAGCGACGCTCTCTCTAGTTTAGCATACTCAGCCCGACTCAGCCTCGTTGTCTCTGGCCCTAGACCCACGATTTTATGAGGCCAGAAAAACTGTGAATTAGGACCCGCCGGCCGGTACTAGGCCAAGTGGAAACGCAACCAAAGACGGGCCGCTGACGTCACAGCCCTCTTAAACCGTGCTCCGCGCTGTAGTGGAAACGCGCCATAAAGTCCACCTCAAAGGACTAAAGAGTGACTGTGCTTTGAAAGACTCATTGTTCTGTAGATGTTTAAAGTTGCTGTATTCAGACTAAAGTGAAAACTGTGAAGCGCATATTGTACTACACATGTTTTGGTGAGTCACCTCAGTGCATGTGGACCATAATGAGGTTATATTCCAACTGAATGACTCTATCCATGTTTGTTTGACATTCATAAAATAGTTGTAAAAACATAGTTGACGTTTTGTTATTCACAATATGTTAAGATGCCAACATAATTAACCCACAGTATGTCCTACAAAGTGTCCCTGACAATACCACAAAGGGCTACCCGAGCAATAGTGACGCAATTATCCTTTGCCCCCCCTCCCAAACAAAAAACAGATTAAAATACATCAAAAAAGGGATTAAAGAATCTGCCGACACCCTTAAACCCTTCAAAGGGTGTCCAACTCTATCAAAGGATGAGCATGCTCAAATGTGAGGCGACACACATGACACGTGAAGAGTGTCACTTTATAATTTCTACTTCTGTGAGGAGGGAGAAATTAGATTTCAGCGAAACACGATATGAGAGCAAAGCGATGAGGGGTCTGGGTTATCTATAAATACCACAGATGCCTATAGGTGAGAACGAAGGAGGGGGGGGGGGCGGACAGGAGCAGAAACAGAGAAAAATTAAGACTGAAATCTGATACACTCGAATAGTCTCATCTATATACTTAGAGGTCAGAAAGGCAAACAAAGAGACTGCAAGATAGAGTGTGAGAGACAGAGAAGGGGCTAAATTAATTCCTTCTCTCATTTGGGGGTTTCCCTGTTAAGCGGGGGTGAGATGGGGTTCACCTCCAGCAGTTCCTAAGGGGCGGGGGTTCAAAGCGTGCGGGTGGGAGGAGGGACAGCTCTGTTGGGGAACAGCAGACAGTAAAGATGGGATTTCTCATTTCTCTTGCTATAATTGTTCTTCCCCCCCCCCCCTTTTTTTTCTCTTACAGATACTCAAACTGAATACATACACCCCCCCCCCCCCCCCTCCTCTTTCTTAGAAGAAGAAGAATTGGTGGGATGAAACCCTCTTTAATGGTCACACAAATGTCACTGTGTGTGCCGTGTGCTCTGCATGTGTTCTGAGTCTGCTTGTGTTTCCACAGTATCTGACTGTGCACACACAGGATCAAACACACAGAGGCAGACTGGATGACAAAGCCAGAGCAAAGAGGAAACACAAGGCAGAGAGAGACTTCAAAGCTGGGCAATTTAGAGAATAAAACATGTCCTAACAACCACAATACCCTATTTTAATTAATGCATACGGTAATCACCACCGAGAGAGGAAGAGAAAGCTGTTTACATGATGTTATAATGTAGTGTCCTTAGGCTGGTTTATACGGGATGTAGTTATGTGGCACATTTCTTACATGTTGATCTTTCTTACACCTACTAGGAGTTTGTGTTAACATGTATCCTACTATCCTAGTCAATGGCTCTCACATCCCCCACAAACACATCGTGTGCATATTTTAACACCGTCAAATAAGGAACATGCAGAGAGCAGTGGCGAGGTGGGGCTGCGGGGCTGAGCGCTGTGGCGATGTGTGGAAGTGCTCCTCCAGAAGAATGAGCCGCACGTCTCCTAGCAATCAATCTCAGATATTACCCCGGCATTTGTCAGATATGCTCCCTGCCACGCCAGCCATCCGAGACTCATTCCGTCATTACATCTGAGAGGTCACGCCCACTCCGCCCCCGCCTGCACCATCGTTCCCGGGTCTGACGGCGGCTTAATGGCCTTCTCTCTCGACACCGCAATTAACCTTTTTATTGGCCACCTGCCAGCCAGCTGAAGATACATCAGCTGTTGTGCATGTGTGTGTAAGTAGAGCCATAAATGCAATAGCTTTATTGTGTTCAACACTTGTGCGCGTATGAATGTGCACAAAGCCATAATGTTAATGAATTTCCATGTGAAAAGTACGTGTGTGTGTGTGTAATAGCTGACACATTTCACTTGCTCTCCTATTCAAGCAGAAATTGATTGAATCTAAAAATCCTATCGTGGTTGACCCAGCCAGATCCAGGTGGCTGTGAGCAGTCTTATAGCAGAACTCGTCTTGGCACACAATCTAAAAACGTTCCCTTAGCATCATACATCGATGCAGCAGTGATATTAATGAAGCGCCGGGATGGATTGTGTTCAGTTCAGCTGAAAAGCCTTGGAGATGCACACGGATATACGAACACACAAACGTTTTTTTCTTTTGTGTGCGTAGACAGTGAATAGTCTACCTTTTGTCAAGGAAAGTCGGTTTTAAGAGATCACGTAGCACATGCTGCTAAACAAATGACGGAAAATATCTTATCAATCACTCGGATGGTAATAAACTGCCTCATTAACTTCTTAACCTATGAGAAGAAACAGAATCACAGTCAGACATTGTCTTCACACAGGCACTCAGTATCCGAGAGCCTTACACTGTACTATCCCATTGTCAACAAGAGGCCTCTCTTTAGCTACTTAAAATCTGGCAGAGCACTGCTGAGCAGAAAGCACACAGTAAGTGCATTCTGTGGCTCCTCCAGCTGCAAATTGAATTTCAGGCACAAAACACCTAATAATCCCACGTCACTTGCTGTTCCCAAACTGAACAAGGTCACATTGTAGGACTAGTAATGGGGGGGGGGGGAAACCAACCCTTTTACAAGCATTTATCCAGTAGAGCAATGCATTCATGCTCCAGCAAGGTGAAGGATTTTATGGTAGAGAAAGTACTGAGGAATTCAAGGACAAAAAACAATCGTCAAGACAAAGAAAATCCTTTTCACACCTACAGATGTTGTGTGGGTGTATATTTTTTAACATAACGTGTAGTAGAAAACATGTCAAAGGAATGTTGGAGAAATACATCTTTATATCACAAAAAGTCTCACATCGTTATCACATCAGCCGTGGAGGTTAAGTTTTCGGCTCGTTTTGTGTCCGTTTGTCCTTCAGCAGGATTAGAAAAAAAACGGATTTACATATAACTTGGTTGAATTGTGACGCATAGGCCAAGGAACAACCAATTAAAATGTAAGAGTGGATCCTCACAAGACTGATTATTATAAGGCATCTTTGCATGCTCATTTCAGCGATGGTGCTGTATTCATGTGGGGTCGGAAAAATTGGGAAAATGAGTTCCAAGCTGTGTAAACAATGCATTCTCTACATGATCTGAGCTATAAAATACAACACATATTCTTTGCTCATGATAACACAATTGGGAGGGAAAGAAATGGCCCAGCTAGGGAAATGAGACCATCGAGGAACATTCCCAATTGATGACAAATATAGGATTTGTAAAAACAATTAACAACAAACTACTTAAGTTTAACGGTGGTGTTCAAGTTGTACACAATACATTTGTAACACCGGGTCAATCTGGCAGCCCTTACCTGCTACTGAGAGACGGGCCGTCTGGCTGGAAATGGACCCGAGGTTGTCGATGGTGGCAACACACTGATAGGTGCCCTCGTCAGGCTTATTGTGCTTATTATGGGTGACGTGGGTGAAGAGCAGCGAGCCATCGGGAAGTATGTTTCTTCTCTCGTCTGAAATCAGGCTCATGAAGGTTCCGTCTTTCTTCCACTCTATGCGTGCTGGCGTGGCTGCGTCGCTGTGGGCCGAGCAGTTGAGCAGTGCCGAGTTTCCCCGGATGGCCAGAGTGTCCTGGGGCTCCACCGTGAACCAGAAGGGGCTGAAGGGCTGCGCTGCTGAACCTGGAGGGACACAGGGGAGAAGAGAGTTATGAGCTGGGTGCTCTTCACTGACACCAGGTTATGTTTTAGAACAAGACCGCTTGGGCCAGAGTAGCAATAAGTCTGAGGAAATCTAGTTGATGTCAAACAACAGCTAATGCAAGTGATTTTATTTCAATACTGCAACCTAAAAGCTTCAGCATGAGGTGTTGTACTACTACATAAAACTGAACCATGTCTGTGTAAATGCTGTAACATACACATGTGTTATGCAGTGGAAGATTTAAGAAGAAGCTGTAAAATAGTGACAATCACTTTGAAAAACATTGGACTACTACTGAAGCTACTTTCTGAGTTCAAGTACACAGCAGGTCACAGCAAAACCACAACTTCTCGGACACCATTGACTTTGAACAATTTAAAACCCCCTCACACAAAATGTGCCAGTGGATAAAGTGAAAGGGCACCACAGGACTCCAAGTGGCCCACACACTCAATGAAATGTTTTAGAGCAAAACATATTTTTGCTCATTCTATCTTTTCACCCACTGTGCTTCATTCGATCCAAGAAGCTCCAAGAGGCTTATCATTATGAAACCACAAACCCCGCTGGAATTGGACGAGAGGAACTGACAAATTTAACCCAGTCTAGCCTCCCTGGCAAGTTAATATCACGTCTTGCTTTATTATAAGTAGACAGTGCAGCAAAGGAGTAAACACTTTGGAATGCGGTTGCCATTTCCTTCCTGGAGCATAAATGGTAACATCGCACTGACATGGATAGTGCCAAAGTCAGTAAGTAAGTGCAATTGCTTTGCATTTGTCCTCATCCATTATTCAAGCGCTCCCAACCTAAAAGTCACACAGTGGTATTGTTTAGATAAATAACACCAATTATCAGTTCTGCAGGGATGGAGAAGGGCTAGAAAAAATAATTAAGAGGGTATGAAGGTATTTTAATAATGCAGGGAATGTTGTGAAATGAGTGGCTGAATGTTAAATGCAGTTTAAAATATGCCTGCTCTCTTCCAAGGAAATGGCACGTCTCCAGGGAGACCAGAAAGATAGGAAGACAGAAAAGAGAGATGCTATGTCAATGGTTCAGCTATTTTACTACTAGGAGGTAATTTCTCTACCTTGCGCCACTAAGTCCCTAGTGTGAGATCCGAAGAGAGAAGCAATTTAATACATGGTCCATTACGGTGGCAATACGGCTGCTTGTCTTCAGTGTTCTTAGTTCTCTTGAAAGCACAAACAATTACAGCAAAACTCTGCAGAAAATCACTGAATTGAATAGGTATTTTCCACTTTCACATTAGGGAATAGAGCCAAGACAACATAGCATTCCAACTATGATATGCAATAGTCTTTACACTAACTCTAAGATGGAGAAGACTAGAATAGAGAAAGGGAAAAGATTGTCCTTCTTAATGGACAGTATCAGACCTTTGTAACACTGATTAGAAAGGTCCATTCATCTGAGAAAAAACTAGAAGCGTATCTCTTTCTTAGCTGCTTTTAAATCAGTTAATATGTCAAGTTTCAAATCAGACTGTACTGCAAGTAATGTAGCTTCGGGCTAAGAGCATGTAAAGCAACATTTCAACAAACCAAACATTATTAGATCTGCAAATCCAAAGACTTTACAAGTGCTCAATCATACAATATTTTATTTTGAAAATCCCTTCAGGCAGAAGTGGATGTGAATAAAAAAAAATGTTGGAAAAAAGATATGCCTCGCTTAAACCAGAATAACACATTTGCAAGTGTCACTATTAGCAGCAAGAGTATTTTTCTTTTGCTGATTTCAGGAAATCGATAAATTCAGCACGGCCTAGTGTACATATTGGTCAGAATGTGACCACCAGATAAATGCATTACACTGGTAGTGTACATGACAGATGGAGAGAGACCAAAGTGGGGTAGCAGTGGGGAGATTTGTCACTCCTACAGACCAGAGGCACCATGCTTAATCATCTCTGCTTTACGCTGCTGGAACACAGTGGGTGTGTGGGTTGGGCAGAGCTTCCAGGCTCCAGTCTGGCTCCTTTCCAGTCAAAAGACCATCTTCAGCCACTCTCTATCAGAGGAGAGAACTGAAGGGGCTTGAGGGTCCTGCGGCATCCTATCAGAGCCAAAACAGCCGCCTTCAGCAGCTTTTTATCCCCGTCATAGGAGCAGTAGGGAAGGGCTTAGCTTAGCGATACTGTCAAACAAAATGGCGAACCATCTGTTTTCAGATGCGGACACAACATCCACTGTCAGCAGAGCAGGGCAGTGAAGAGACATGAAGATGGGACCAGGGGGTATGTGTGTGTGTGTGTGTGTGTGTGTGTGTGTGTGTGTGTGTGTGTGTGTGTGTGTGTGTGTGTGTGTGTGTGTGTGTGTGTGTGTGTGCGTGTGCGTGTGCGTGTGGGGCTGATGGCTATTTAGGGGCTTGTTTGTGCTCAATTACACAAACAACTCTTTTCACATAATAGATCCTGGATTGACCTTTAATACCAGAGTACCAGTTAAACACACATACTGACAAGAGAGTTGAAACCACGATACCCCTGGTAGTGGTCAAAGTCCAATAACATAGGAACGTGCCTGACACTAAACAAATATTTTGATGAAAAGGGAAATCAGGTGCTAAAAATATTTCATTTTGATCCAGCATTTTCTTTGCATTTTGTAGCATGTAGAGGAATTATCAAGTAATGCCTCCCAAAACATATCCATCCATTAAAGCTATCCCGGTTTCAAGGTGCAAGAATCAGCAACATTTTTTCATTTCATTTCTTTCTCTCTTGATCTTTTTCTTTAAAACGATCTCAAATTATTGTTATAAAATTAGGCTTGATGTACTGTATGTAAAGATTCAAATTCCCCCTGTTTATTTGGTTGATTAAGAATAACAGCACTGCGCAAATATCAACTCAGGCCTCTGAACTTCAACCATCAGCGATTGCACTAAAGGAAGAAGCTGGAAACCCATGTCAGTGGTTAAATTAAAAAGGTTAACAAGCCCAAACTGTCATTTCAGTATGAGTGTGAGGAAGACAAGCAGGCAAGCTAAATGAGCCGGATAAGGCCAACATATCAGTGAGAAACAAGGATATCCATCAGCAGCGTTTGATTGAAAACAAACTCACTACAATAGTCAAATATGTCACCAACTCAGACTTTGGCAAGCTTCAACTTTAAGATCAAAGCCGAGGAAAAGTTTATTTTTGGCAACTAACAAGGTTGTGAGTGAATAGAAAAAAACGCTTCAGAACAAGCTACGTTCTCTTGATGTATTTCCAAGTGTTCAGTAATAGAAAACTCAGAGTGTATGTTCTTATACATCATTAAAGTGCAAGGGAACATATCTAACCAAATCTTGCTGAAACAATGTAATGAAAAGAAGTAGAAGAAGTGATTTGTAAAACAGGGAATTGTTGTCTCTTCTACAGAAACTTTTTGGTCTCATAATAGACTCATCAACTTATGCACAGGTGTAGATGACTGCAGGTTACGCAAAGTACACCTTAACATATTCATTTAAGGTGTTTTAGGCGGTTGCAATGGAGAACGCACACATCTTTATGCAGGGATATAAGATAATTAAAACACTGCAGGCTTTTAACAGCACAGCTGCAGAGTTAAAGAAAGAAAGGGGGTGTCAGAAACCACATTACAGTGTGGCGTCTAATGTATTCAGACCCAGCAGTGTGGGAGACCCCGTTTGTCTTTGAGAAATAGAAAGCACCACACCGGGCAAGCAGTGAGAACGAGGTAGAGGCGAGCAAGGGGCTAGAAAATGAGGTTGTCTGCTTGATAAGTACGGGCCGTTACCTCTGTCCCAAATCCACTTTGCTCAGCAGTCATAAAAGGTTTCGGAGCCCAGCTTAAGGTGGTGCCATGATATGCTGCCTTGCTCTGTCTCGCACAGTTTCTCCTCTGCTCTCAAAATGAGAGAGACAGAATGGAGACGCGGTGTTTGTGCTGTATTTCCTATCCTGAGCCAACATTTCTTTTAGATGTTACAAGCAGTCGTGCGAGGTAATGTTTTCACAGAACGCGAGTAAGGTAGTGTTGCTTGTTGGCTTACAACCATTCTGTCACAAGTAAACTTGAAAAAAAACGGCTAACAACATGGATACGTGTATTTGTTCTGAACCACCCTATATCCAGTTCAAACTCTTGCACAAATATACACAGTCAGTCTCTAGTAATATCCTAGAAAAGGCAGTAAAAAGGAGTGTTCTCCACACAAAGACCCCCTGTTCTCTCCTTTTCTAACCTTGGCTCAGCAGGAAGCCTCCTCCCTCATTGACCCACCGCCTGAGAGCAGCCATATTGACTACCCTCCTTATTGAGCCGCTTGTGAGACAGAGCAGACTCTCACTCTCAAGACCAGTCACATTTTCAACAACAGAGCCCCTTCTGTGGCTTAGACTTAGGGACAAGGAAATCCTTCGAAGTAAACACACTTGAAGGGCATTTTGCAACCATTGGAAAATGGCAATAGACTTTGAAAGCTACATTGTATTAAATATATTCGTATTATCAGTTAGAAATACACACTGTATTTCCTCTGTATAATGTGTCACTGGATTTCTGATCTTTTCAAAACTTTATAAGGGAGACAACCAACCGACTATAAAATCATTAACAGCACAATGAAGATAAATGGAAACCTTCAACGCAAGTAAAGATAAAAGGGCGGGGGGTGATACTTTGTAATAAACCAGAGCACTTCATTCACTGAGCTGCTGCTTCTCGGTTATTTTCCATCCCCACTGTTTGTCCTTCCAACCTCGGCGTCAGGGTCGCTTTAATGACACTAATGGAAACGTTTGTCTACTTTTTCCTCTCCTTCATCTTTATACCTTGATTCTGTCCCTGCAGAATCCTTCATCTTCCCATCTCACCAAACCCCCATCCAAAGCCCATCAGTCACCAAGAAACACCTCAGGGAAATAAGAATGATCTTGAGAGCAAGTGTGCAGGGACTATGTGTCTTTAATAGAACTGCAGCTAACTTTCTTTAT